TTTACGGTGGTGTTCGCTCTCTGCTCGCCTGTTCAGCATGTTCACGTAGGAAGCTCGGAACCTCATTGCCATGCCTGCCTTGTGCGAGTGTGTGAGTCGAAACCCTTTAACCCTTTAACCCCGTAACCCCTTAACCCCTAAACCCCTAAACCTTAAGCCCCTTAACCCCTAGACCCTAAACCCCTAAACCCCCAGCTAGGTGGGAGGCAAAAAAAATCCTAATCCCTAAACCCCCCTTAACCCCTAAACCCCTAAACCCTAAATCCCTAAAGCGTAAACCCTAAATCCCTAAACCCCTAAACCCCTGATCCCCTAAACCCCTAATTCCCTAAACCCCTAAACCCAACCTGGACCCCAAAAGTATGTAGAATAATAGCCCTTTATAGGTGTTGGGCCATTATTTTACCTACTTTTGGGGCTTTAGGTAAACCATAAACCCTAAACCCTTAACCCTTAAACCCTAAACCTATCGGGTTTTCTGGCCCCGGAGGTTGGAGGAAGCGCGTCAGCGCGAGCGGCTCCTCGACCGAAGCGCTGAGGAGGACGTGCACCCTGGCTTTTTTTGTGTCAACTTTTTAAAGTTGAGGGCTTATGGGTTTAAAAACGGCTTTAATTAAAGTTTAGGGTTTGTGGGATTAACAATGTAAAAACGTTTCTAGTTTTATTTACGCCCGTTGACGGGGTTAACTAAGGTTCTGGAGTTTAGGTTATACAAGGGGCTTAGGAGGGCCTGGGTCTTAGATCGGCTCTTCCCTGCTGGCTTGTACTTTTGTAAACGGCGTGTTCTCCTGTTTTATACATGTGTGTCGGCTGTTGAGCTGCTGTTGATGTTTTTTTTTTATGTGTGTGTGTGTGTTGGTTTTGCCTTTCTCCAAGACTTTAATTAATGAAGTATGGGAGGTTTTATGGGGTTTTCTGATGTTGGATAGTGTTGTTACTGGGGGATTTAAGACTTTTCAAGTTTTCAAGATGTTTCAGAAGGGGTTTGTAGGTTTTTGTTGTTGAAGAGGTGGGGGTCTTCTTATCCAAGCGTCGAGGTCAAAGTGTACCTTGCGGGTGTACTCTCAACCCTAAACCCTAAACCCTAAACCCAATCATCATGCATGGGGTACTGGGGAACCTGAACCCGAAAGCTAGGCAACTGAGTGGCCGGAAGCCTTGCGCCTGCCTGACCTGCGTCTGAGCGGTGAGCCTGTAGACTCAAAATTTGGGATAGATATACAAATATGTATATATATATATATATATGTAGCTGTTTATTCAGGGCTGTAGGGTTTTGGGCTTGTGAGGATTTTTTAGGGTTCAGTTTTTAGGGGCTTAAGGTATGGAGGTTAGGGTTTAAGTGGGGCTGTAGGGGATTAGCTCGAGTACGGCTTCAGGGAGTTGAGTGTTCGGGCATGACAAGAAGGCTCCCTGGGATGGAGAGACCTTCGAGCTTTAGCAGTCCCGTAAGTAGGGGTTGCGGGGTTTGCAGTGCAAAAAGATGCGGTTCCTTGAAATCAAGGACAGTGTGTCTTCAGACACTGACTAAAGAGTAATCGTGAAGGACAAAGGCAGGTGCGGCGCCACCAAAACTGCACCCCTGATGTCACATAGCTTCAAGCTACAGTACTAAAAGCTCTTAACCTGGCCGGAAATCAGCAAAGCTGCGCTACCTACCTGCAGCTGTCCTCAAGATGGATACCAAAGGTGTGTCCATCGATCTGAAGGCAGATGCCAGTCGAGTGTCGGGCATTCTCATGTTGGTAGGACCCCGAAAAGGTATTGGGCTGTGTTAGCAACGGCTTACTGCTGGCCAACTTGTTTCACCGGGGCCCTATGAGGTCGTAGATTGCCAGGCCGCACCAACCTTTGAGGAAAGAGGACGGGATGTCGAAATTGTGCTTGCTCGTTGATTCTTGGTCCTGCTTCACGGATGGGGTTGAGCTCCCACCTGTCATAGTACTCAGCTAGTTAGCTAGTCATGTGTCGATCGTTTTCGATCTTACACAAGGATGTGCCGACCACTTGGGTTTAAACAACAGTCTGAAATTCAATGCTAGACCCTCAAAGCCACGCTATATGAACCCCAAGGCTCTGCGAGGATCGTGCAGGATCCGAATGAAGGAACCGCCTGGCTCTACAGCTCAAAACTACTTCAAACTAACATAACCTGCCTTTTGTAGTTTCTAAGTATGCTCGAGGGACTAATGTGTAGGGCCCATGGGGAACTGGTGCTTCTAGCTTCAAACAGTAGCGCACTCCTAAATCCCAACTGCTAAGACCCTAAAGCCAGGTAGGTTATGAAATATCAAAGAGCCTTGATCGCTAAGTATAGTAGGACTCCAAGGACGGAAGAGGCGAAGCTCCAAACTCCTGAACTTCGGGGATTTAGGGGTTTAGAGTCTAGGGCTTAGGGTTTAGAGGCATCTGCTGTTGAGGAGTGTTCGCTGGCACACAATCCAAGCCCATGTTGAAAAAGTCTGGAGGATTGATTTCTGTCTCACGAGGCGTGTCTTCTTCGTCGCTGTTGTCGTTCGTCTTCCCCTTCTCATTCCCATCCAAGCCATCACCAGTACCGCCACCAGAATGAGCGGCATTGTGCTTTTCGATCGCCTTGGTCCCGGTACCCGTCCCTATCCCGTTCCTCATATCAGAAGTAATGTAGG